CTCGGACGGAACACGTCGCCATCGAGCACAATGCGGTTGCTCCACTCGCGGCGCCCACCGGGCCCGCGACGGCGCCAGCCTCGAGAACAATCTAGGCCCGCGGTAGGCCGCCGCGCAGAGGAGCGCGATCTGAAGGGGAAAACCGACGAGCTGGATGCGGTCCCACAACAGTTTCAAGAGCGGGTGGCCGAGCAGATCCACCAAGTAAAATAGAAAACTCACCGGGCGCGCAAACAGACTCTGAGCGCTCCCTCTTGCCACCAGATGGCGAACAGCTCAGATTGCCCAAGCTTCCTGGTGCGATCCCCTCCACGATAGACATATATGCTGACCGCGTCCCCCCCCCCCCCCCATGGCGCCCCGAACAGAAAGGGTGATTTGCCGAGGGGCCGCCAGCTCAATCCTGGCCTGCCGGGCCAAATGCTCAAGCGGCATATCCGCGCGGCGCCGGGGGGTGCCTGCGACCCCCCTTTTCGCGCGCAAGCCTCGGCCCAAAGTCAACATCATCCAAGGCCTCATCCCGCGGAAGGGGCGAGGGCTGGGGCCCGCGGCGGCTGCGATGGGGGTGGGCGGGGGCTCCGCAAACGCGAGGCGCTGCAGATCCGCCAACTGCGGACTGCCGAGACATGCGCTATGGATTTTTGGCGTCGGCCCCCCGTGATTTCAAGAAAAGAACAGGCTGAATTGACCGCGAAGAACTTCAGCGGGCGAAGGCCCTCATCGGACGCGTTCGCGCAAGTGTCCTGCGCACCTGGAAATCACATTTTGTGACCTCGAAGAAGGGGTGACCGCGAAGCCACTCCGACAACTCGCGCGGCCCCACCTCATCTACCAAATATCCAGGAGAGCTGCTGAGCGCCGCGCCGAGTCTAGCCAGCGTCCCTGGGATTTCCCAGATTGCCCTTCGGAGTCCACCAGATGCACCGAGGGCCATGGACCCAAACAAAGGCAACGCTGCAAGAAACGACAAGGAGACGCGGACCAGGGCCCCAACGCCTCCCAAGGGCCCCCCAGAGGGACCACCGAGGGCACGCCCAAGACGAGCATGCCACCCATGTCGTCGGGCCCACGCAGGATACTCAGCGAGAGAAGAATCGGAGGCCAGTGTCTGTTTTTGAGGATCGACGATGCGTGCAGCTGATCGCGGAACCCAAGCCCTGGCTGACACCTAACACGAGGCATCCATGCTGTCAACGACGCACTCAAAATTTCTCGAGGCTGGCCGAAGCTCTGGAAACGCTCTGAGACTTGGGCACCAGGGAGGGGGGGGGGAGGCGACTGCATGTCTAAACGGCCCTGAGAGTGGGCATCGCGCGCAGAACGCCTTGAGAAGGGAGGGCGGAGCGCCCGCTGCTCCTCCGCCGCTGCCGCCATCGCCTTCAGGGGGCCGATTTGTTGCCGCTGGCCAGGAGCCGCCTGACCGCGACCGCAAACATCTGAGACCGCGCTGGCAGTCCATTGAGGGCTTCCCACCGCTCCTGGCCCGCCGCCGTCGTCCGTCGAAACCGCGGCGCCTGAACCCTGGGGAGCGGGCGCAGCCCGCCCAGGCGCGGCGGCGGGCGCTGCCGCGCCGGCAATGCCGTTCCTCGTCGTCTGAAACCGTGCAGCATGATCCCGAAAATTCCCATTAAGCTGATCACCCTTCTGAATGATCTCACACAATTCGGCGTTGACCAAGTCGGCCATGGCCTTCCGAAGCTTTTCTTGGCGAGTCGGTAGTGTTGGTGTCCACGTCTGACTGCTGGACCTCGTAGTCGTCTGTCGTGAACTGAAGGAGATCGCTGGCGTCAAGGTGGACCATGTTGGCGTACCCAGAGGGTAAGCGGCCCTAAAATTTAGGCCCGTCCTAAGAGGGGGGCCTAAAACATAGGCCCGGGGCCTATGATGGTAATTTGCGTTTGAGATTTTAGGTCCGCCCGCGGCTGGGGGGGGGGCCTATAATTTTTGGGGGTGCCTAAAATGTGTTTTTTGGATTTTGGGCCGGGGGGCCTAAAATGCATTTTGCGTTTTGGGCCCGGGGGCCTAAAATGCATTTTGCGTTTTGGGCCGGGGGGCCTAAAATGCATTTTGCGTTTTGGGCCCGGGGGCCTAAAATGGTTCATCGGTTTGAGGTTCCAGGGGCATCGATTTTGCGAAATTGTCGGACACGCGCGCGTGGGTTTCAGGTGGGTCGCGGGCGGGTCGCGGCGCGCGGCTTCGTTGCGTTTCCCCGAGTCGAGGAGGAGGAGGGAGGAGGCAGGAAAAGGAAAGGAGGGGGAGGAGAGAGGACGGCGGCTCACCCCTCTCTCGCCCGACGGGCGTCGACTCATCGTGCAAGCGGGTTCCGCTCAGACGTGGTCGCCCGCTACCGCTGCCGCGCCGTTCAGGGGAGGAAAAGGTGTCGATGCCGCTTATATTGCCACGGCTGTATTCGCCTGGAAATCCTCGCCAGAACGCGCCAGGATGAGGTCAGTGGGGTAGCGATATCGGCACCGTTCTGCTCCCCCAGTTGTCCCTGTCGTCCGCCGCCGCGCCGTTCAGGGGAGGAAAAGGTGTCGATGCCGCTTATGTTGCCACGGCTGGATTTGCTTGAATCCTGTCCAGAACGCACTTCGGGAGAGATGCACAGAGTGGCGGTATCGGCGCCGTTTGCTCCCCCAGTTGTCCCCGCCGTCCGCCGCCGCGCCGTTCAGGGGGGGGGAACCTATCGACCCCGCGCGTTGCCACGGCTGGATTATCCTGGAAATCTTGTTCAGAACGCACCTCGGGAAAGGTCCGTGGAGTAGCGGTATCGGCACGGTTTTGCTCCCCCAGTTGTCCCCGCCGCGTCGACCGTGAAGCGCCAGCACCAGACCGCCCCTCCACAGCGCCGCCTCCGCCGACCACGCCCTCTGACGCTCCTAGCGGACGAAACGCGGGAAACGCAGGTGCAATTTCCTAGCGCCTCGAGGCACCGCAGCTGGGCTGCAGCCCCTCGAGGCGCTAGGAAAATGCATCCGCCCTTCCCACCTCCAAATCCTCGAGCATCGTAGCGAACTCACCGTGCCCGCTGGAGCGACACATGAAAACGATGCCAGCGGCGGCGCTGGCCGCCGCTTCGAGAGCAGCGGCCATAGCCGCTGCCAGTGCGAGCACAGGTTCGGGGATGAGAGGAGCGCTCATGGCTGGCTGAGCTCGGGGCGTGGCGGGCCGTGCTTGAGGAGAGGGGGGTGGAACGGGACATATCGAGGACCCCTCGTTCGAGGGTTCGGATCAAGGAGCGAGGAACGAGGGGCGCGAGGGAGGGTGAGGGGGGGGGGAGGGAGGGGCGAAGGGACAAGGAAGCCATACTCCGTCCACCGCCCTCGAGGCGCCACGTAAACGACATGTTAGATGGCCCGCGGGATGGAGAGGGTGAGCGGGGGAAGAGGGGGAGGATATTTTTGGAAATGTTTGACAACTCAACCATAATGATGCAGTTTGCGTACAGTTCATTGTTCTCCGACGACACCGACTTGTAGACGGTGCCCCCGCGCCCGAAAAGGGCGGATTCGAACGCATCTCGCGTGAATACGGCCTCGCCGCGTCGCGAAGATGATTCCTCCCCTTCCACCCCCAGGGGAGACAGTGGGGAATGGAGAGGATGGGGGCTGACTGAATTAACGAATGGAGGATGAAGGGAGGGAGGGAAGATATAAAGCGTGCAGTGGCGGTGGCAGAGGCGCCTATCCTGTCCCGCATTTTGCCAGGAGGGCGGCGGGCGATGCATTCCAGATGGGGATCGAGGATCGCGTCGGAGGGTTGCGCCGCATCGTTTAATGCGTCGGCGATGTCGGCGACGCATCGGCGCCGTCGGCGCTGGTGAAACTTGGCTCCACATCGCGAGTCGCATCGCCGATGCATCGGCGATGCGGCGCGATCCTCCGACCACATCTCTCGGACCCCATTTGGAATGCGGGACGCGTCTCGGTCGCCAGCTTGCGCGCGCCACGGCGCCACGGCGCCGCGGCCCCGCTCGGGCCTTGATGGCCCAGTCCAGCAAGTTGCTGGCCCAGTCAAGGATGACCAAGTCCTGATGGGCATGGAAATGTCCTCCTCCTCCTCCTTCTCCTCTTCCGCCTCCTCCTCCTCCTCCTCCTCTCCCGCCTCCTCCTCCTGCTCCTCCTCCTTATGGTGGTGGTGGTGATGGGAAATTCATGCCCATGAAATCCAGCAGCAGGCTGACCCAGTCAAGGATGACCCAGCCCAGAAAGATGCTGACCCCGCCAAGGATGACCTAGTCCAGCATGGTGATGACCCAGTCCAGCACGATGCTGACCCCGTCAATGTTGACCAAGTCCAGCAAGATGCTGACCCAGTCCAGCACGATGCTGACCCCGTCAAGGATGACCCAGTCCAGCACGTGGTTCACCCCGTCAAGGATGACCAAGTCCAGCAAGATGCTGACCCAGTCAGGATGGCCCAGTGCAGGACCCAAAACACCAATACGACATCGATCAATTCAAGATCACACGATAGGCATTCGCAACAACTCGATCAATATCAAACGACATGCATTCTGCACAACTCGCAAGAATTCAACCGCCACACCAGGGCAATTCCAACGAAATCGAAGTCCATGAGGGGGGCCTAGGGCGGGGACTGCCAGCTCGAGGTTGAATAATGCCTCACTCTCCCTGGCAGTCCCTGCAACGGGGGGATGGCGGGGAGGGTCACTCCAATCCCCCCCACCCTCGCACAATGGCGGAAACGCGAATCCCCCGCGCCCCTAGGCACCCCCGAATAATTTGCAACCTGAACGGGTGCTGGCCACACGCCAAGGCTTGTGGTCAGACCCCCTACTCGATGCTGATGTTCGCAGCTTCCCTCACTATCTTGACGATCGCCTGAGGAAGGAGTCTGATCCTCTCCTCCCCTCCTCCAGGCCATTTATATATAACTTCGCGCATCGCGCTCACCTCCATGCTGCTGGGAGTAACCGATGCTCTAACCCAGACCGCGACGCGCGAAACACAGGGGGTGTCCGAGGAGAAGAAGAGAACCTGCTCACATTACTCCTCGGCCAGTCCTCATTGGGCAGCTGCGGGTAGCTCTCGGACTCGATGCCCTCCATGTCGCTGTCAGCGTCCACGTCGATGGGAATGTCATCCAACGCCGACCCTACCAGCTGCTCGATCTCCGCGTTCACCATCAGCGTGAAGTAGCCGTAGCCTGGGCCATTCGAGAGATTGAGGGGGGAGGATCGGGCACGTGGGGCGCTGGAGTCGATATCGATCGAATCCATTCGACCAACCCTGAGAACCTCGCACGTACGATGTTACGCGTCGACCGTTTTCTTCACGAACGGATTGGGCGATATTTACAGTATTGTACAGACAGCTCCATATCTTCTGCTCCAGAACGAAACGTGCGCCAGCAGAGCGCGCGTGCGACATCATCAAGGCGCACACGCCCGCCATGAACGCGAGCCGTCCAGGCACGGTGCCGAGATCACCTGGGATGGAGCATTGATCTGGCACGCTTGATGTCACGCCTAACCGACGATCACAACCATACGTCTGATCATGCTCAGACGTCTGCATGCAATCGTCGATCAAGCGTGCCATAACAGGTTGCAGCCGCAGATCCCACCCCAGGAAGGTGGCGACAACCAGATGATGCCACCAGGCCGCGCCCGAAACATCAGTAGAACTGCCAGCCGAATTTTGCGCCAACAGGGCCGTAGCCCTGGAGATGCGGGATGACGAGGAGGGGAAGGGTAGAAGAGGGACGACTGATAGGGGTAGAGGGAGGGCGGTAAAGGCCAGGCTCCTAGGTGCAGTAGGCCCTCGGGGGTCGTGACGTCCTCCCAGCGATCGTTGCGACCCGCGTCGTACTCGACGGCCTTGTACAGCGCCTGCGCACATCGTATCACCCTCCTCACTTCCCCCACCATCATTCCTCATGCACGTCGTCCTCCGACCGTCTCGCCCTCATCATTCCTAATTCTTAGTTGTCGTCATCTTCATTGCATTCCTCATCCTCGTCCTTCGGTCCCACTTCTCATCCCCCTCCTAGTCCTCGTCCTATCGTTCCTCGTCCTCGGTATCATTCCTCATCCTTGCTCCTCCTCATCTTCCTTCCCCAGCGGCACCGCCCGCACAGCTTTGCTCGCTCCGCCAGCGCCGCTGAAGACCTCGAGGAACTGCACGTCTCGCCTGGTGTGGGAGCATCGGGGAGGGGGAGGAGGCTCGAGGAGGAGGAGGAGAAGGAGGGGGAGGAGGAGGAGGAGGAGGAAAGGGGATTAGGATGAGGGGGAGGAGGAGGAGGAGGAGACGACTACAAAGGCGTGAGAGATGAGGAGCTCGGAGCGGAGAGGATGAGAAAGGGGATAGAGGAGGATGAGGGGCGACAGGAAGGATGATGCCGATGAGGATGTCTTGGGGAGGATGGGAGGAAGCGTGAGGGATGGAGGGAGGGAGTGGCATATCGCCTCGCGTTTGGATAATGTCGAGGGGCCAGCTCCTGGAAGATCATCAGTAAGTTATCGTCCTGGAGCCGATTATCTCTGCTTTCCTGCCGCTACGCCTCGAGCTATCCTTTGATCTTCCTTCTCTTCGTTCCTCTCGCTCTGTCCCTCCTTCCCTCCCTCCTTCCTTCTCCCCCTTTCTCTCGTCGTTCTCTTCCTCCCCTCTTTTCTTCCCTCTCCTCCTCCCTCCCTTCCTCTAGCTCCTTTTTCCCCTCTTCCTCCTCTTCGCTTCCCTCTCTCGGCTCAAACTCGCAGTCCTGATGTCTATCAGGGTGCGCTCCGTAAGTCTCGAGCTCCGTGGTGATCAGCCGCTGGATAAACACGCGCGGCTCCGTGGGCTGCTCTGCCTTGCCGGGTCGCGGCGCGGAGGTGGGCGAGCGGAGGGCGAGGGAAAGGAGATGGTCATCGAGCCTCTGCCTCGTCGCTGCTTGCAGCCATGGCGTCTGGGCTCGCAGGGGCAAGCCCGCGGCTCTGCAGAGATGCAATTGCTGCGATTGGCCAGACAGGCACGGTATGGATGGATGGCGGTCGTGTTTTACCAGACGGGACTATGTCTTCCGATCGCACATTGTCGGGGCACTATAATCAAATGATCGCATTGGCACAGCGACACACGGACATGCGCGATCGAACTGAGAGCACACCATGAGATGCAGGGACAGTGGCTTCCGAGCGCCGTGTGCCGATCGGACATTATAGTACGCATGCAGACAGGGACTTCCGAGCGCCGCCTGTCGGGAACTGAGAGCATGTGCACAGAAATGCAGTCCCATGTGTTGCTATAATATATATATATATATATATATATATATAATGCGTGCTGCATGCATGATATACGTGCCATGTGCAAATATATATATACGGGACCGCACCTCTAAACATTAGCGAACCAGCTCGTGCAATATACTGGCATCAACTGCAGCCTGCTGAATATCCTATCCAGCCGTGTCGTTGGGTGGCTCGCCTGGGCGATTGTGGCCACCACGCAGTGTAAACTTTCATCCAAAAATGTGGAATAAAAGCGGGGATTGCCGTTCGTCTTTGCCAGCATGGTGAGGTGACACCAAAGATGATGCTTGGGAACGAATTTCACACCTGCAGTTCTCAAAAGCGCCACGTGGCGATGAAACGTCGTCATCAGATCCTTTGCGCTGCGTTTGCTCAATTTCTGTGGCTCGCGCTTTATAATGGCGACATGCTCTAGCAGCGCTACGCCTGCACCACGCAGGTACTCCTGCCCAACCATTGCGAAATCGTGTGTGAGACGGACAGCCCACTTCACCAAAGGGCCAGTTTCGGCAGCCTTTGTGGTGCAAGGCCCATCCGGGGCATTCCCGAGCATCTTTGCAGTCAGCTGGTTCAGGCGATATGAATTATCTACATTAGTTTCCGAGTACCATTTGTTTAAATGGGACTGGAGGAACACGAAAGCAGTCTGGATAATTTCGTCTTTCGCGCCAGCAGCGCGCCGAGGATTGGCCGCCGCAACTCGCCAGGCAACGCCCTGAACATAACAGTGCATCACACCTAAGTATAAGGTGTGTAAAGTATCTATGCGGAGAACGCCTCGCGGATCACCCACGAACCGCCCATCCAGAAGTGGGCTGCGCCGAATGACAGGGTCGGCCAGCGTGGATCCATCAAGAGTTCGGCGCCAGAAAATTATATTCAAACCGCCAGCAGGAATAGGGGCGCGCTCGAGGTCATAAATGTCAGGCAGGCCAGCGCTGGGCCCCAATCGGTCCATGCGCTCAAGGCCGAGGAGTGGCGCCCTACATTTGACGATTCGCCCACCTGGGCGCGATTTTTTCTGCTCCCTCATGAGCACGCTAATTACTTGTAGCCTCTTCTCTTCGCTATCTATACAGAAATGGTGCTCACGTGCCGCGCGCTGGTTGTTATAATCAGATGGTGCATACGTGCCCCAACTGTGGCCTGCGCGCGAAATTGAGTCAAACGAGCACAGTTCAATTTTGGTGGCTCGGCAGAAAATGCAGGGGTGATACTTGGACGCCCACGTGGGGGATCCGAACGCGCTGCAGAACTCGCTCCAGTCGCCCTTGATTTGGACGAGGGCGACTGGGCATGGAAGCGCCGGTTCCTCTAGGAACTTTGTATAATAGTGGTCGGTCTCTGGCCAGGGCGAACCGTCCCATCTCACTGCTGGCCTCTGGCTCTTCATCGCTGCCGCGAGAGACCAGTGCAAAAATTGGAAGAGCCGAAAGAATGCGCACCACCCCTTACACCCGCACTGGCAAAGCAAAGACTTGCGGAGAAACGCTACTGGATGCCTCTTGCGGGAAATGAGCGAATATATGAAGACGCCGAAAAAGCTGTCAGCCTTGCCGACAGTAATGGACTTCTTATACCTAACGCAATCCAGGCACAGCGCGCACGGGCGCGCTGCGAGACCGCGCGCGCGAGCACTCACGACAGAGGGGTGCGCGTTATACGCGTCACTCCATTCCTCGGCGCCCTCCGCGAAGTCCTGCTCGATCATGTCTGGGTTCTTCGCGAACTCAGCTGCCAATGCATCGTGGGGTGGGCGCGCGAGGGTCGGCGCGATCTCGCGGCTGGAGCCGACGTGCATTGGCATGTCGACGGACGTCTTCACAACCTGGGGCGCGAACTTGAAAGCGGACGTCAGCTTCTTTTGAAACTTACCAGACGAGCTCTGTGGGCCCAGCATGAACCGCTGGAACGGCCCCTTTGCCCCCGCGTGGTGGGCCTGCCAGCAGTAGGTGCACGGCTCCTTCGCGCTCATGGTGCCCTTGGCATACTGGCCTAGCCAATTTTCAAGAAGTTGCTCTCCATGCTCATGCTGCTGGGCCTCAAGCTCTTGTTCAGGTTTGCCGCCATCATCCCACAGAGTGTTGGGCTCGGGGTCAGATGCATCCCACGCAGGCGCCTCCTCATCTGTCGAGTCTGCGTCCCATGTCGCAGGCTCGCTGTCCCAAGTGGAACGCTGCTTCTTCTTAGGTGGCATGGTGCACTGGGTTCTTATACGCGCTTGTGCCAGACCGACTGCGTTGCTGATCCTGCTCCTCCTCCTCCTCTGCTTCGCCTCCTCCTCCTCCTCCTCCTCCTCTGCCTCCTCCCCCCCTCCTCCTCCTCCTCCTCCTCCTCCTCCTCCTCCTCCTCCTCCTCCTCCCCCTCCTCTGCCTCCTCCCCCTCCTCCTCCTCTTCCGCCCCCCCTTCCTCGCTTCTCCTCCTCCTTCCTCCTCATTATTAGTTTAATTCCTCCTCCTCCTCGTCATCATCATCATCATCATCATCATCATCATCATGCATACCTCCCCCTCCTCCTCCTCCTCCTCCTCCTCCTCCTCCGTCTCCCGAGGGCCCCCTCACCTGTGCTCCGCAGGAGCAGTCGCCTCCAGAGTTGCGCGCTCCACTCGATCTCAACAGGCCACGTCCCAGCAGCCCCCATCCTCATCCTCATCCTCATCATCATCATCACCAGCATCATCATCATCAGCACCAACAGCACCATTATCATCAGGAGCCTCATGATCACCATCATCATCAGCACCATCACATTCTTGTCGCCACAACCACAAATCATCATCCCCATCATTGCCAGCATCAAACACGGTCGTGCATGCCTGCCCGACGCCTGACACGGTGGAGGCCCGATCACAAGAGACCCTTCACAAGAAACGAGGCCCTGCTGAACGCAACGCGGCCCACAGCAACACCATCG